TTACTTTTTATTAATTTTCTTCTTATTTCAATTCTTATTTGTGCCGTAATAATTTTGTTTCTATTGTGTGAAATCCAATTCAAGATCATTTAATTCGGCGACACGGTTTGTGGTTGTCATCAAGAACTACTTTCAGTGAGAGCTCTTCAGAGAGGTCGTGCTCCAAGTCTTTGGGTAGAAAAACAAAATGGGTTTCTGGGTTTTGTCCATGGTAAGGTTTAAGCAAAGAAACATGAATAACCGAATGCATCTTAGAATCTTGTGTAAGCGCAACTCATAGGCAACAACTCCTATACGACTAAGAACAGCGGCGAAAGGATCGAAGTAGCGCTTGGACAGCTTGTGAGGAAGATGTTTGGCCACCGATTGTTGCCGATACGATTGAAGCTTTAACAAAACTAAGTCCCCAAGTTTGTATTCACAATCACGTTGCCCCTTATTAACTTGATTTGTCATACGTTGTCTGGTACGCTTAAGAGTGTCTTTTAACTGAAGCAAAAGGACAGAGCGCATATGGAGAGTGGTGTCTACAACCTCAATGGTTGTTATGACTAGAATATAGTCAGTGATGGCTGGTGGAGGTCTGACATAAAGGGCCTGAAAGGGGGTCATACCGATAGAGGAATGACAAGTGTTGTGCCAAAATTCTGCAAGATGTAAAAATTTGAACCAATGCTTGGGATAATCACCTGCAAAACAGCGGAGGTAGGCTTCCAAATTGCGATTGACAACTTCCGTTTGTCCGTCTGACTCAAGGTGATATGCAGAGCTATATTGTAATCGGTGATTTTAGATGAAGAAGATCATTGCACCAAAAGACTATTTTGTTACAACCTCAAAAATCATTGTACCAAAAGCTATTCCGCTACAACTTTCAATCAACATCAATATATCCAGATATTTCTAAAATCTTCTATCTCTATTTAATAATTATGATTTAAATGTAATGATTCTTGAGTTTTATTTAAAATCTCACGTAGTTCAAAAGAAATTTTTCTAGCAAGTATTATGTAATATATATAATTATAATTAAAAAAATGAAAATTTTATTATTGTTATTGTTTTTATTTAAATTTCTAAAATATTTGAAAAAAATTAACAAAATAATAGTAGTTTTGAAATGGAAGGAATACATTTTACTTTGATTTAGAGAAAAAAATTTAACTGTTAGGTTTACGTTTAAGAATAATTTTATATCTCTCACTCCTACGATTCATCCTTTTTGTAAGATATTTTTATTATTGTATGACAAAGTAGGAACTACTTTCAGTAGCCAAAAGGTAGATGTTGATTTTTTATTTTCTTTTTTGTTCTAATGATGATCTATTTTAGATCACTCAAAGATGACATTTCCAAAGCACGAAATGCTCTGTGAATTGAAATTTTCACGCAAGACGGAGACACGAGACGACTTATGACCTATCGTTGATAAGAGCATACATGTGGATTGAGGCATGCCAGGCTCATAAATATTTTTGCGCAGAAATATATTCTCACAACTTTTTGGAGATATCGAAAATAGATATTTTATTAGCAATGGTTCTAAAGGTAAAGGGTCATCTTTACCAAGTGTGAAAAGGCACTATGTATGAAGCTAATATGGCCACGTATGTTGAACAGCTTAAAAGTTGGAAAAGAAACACATTGTCTAAGAACATTGTTTATGCAAATCCAACTGTGCGACACCTATTTTTATAATGAATGCTCTATGGTTTATATTTATAGCAGATTGCTAAGTCTCAGGTTCCTTGCACATTCTCTTGCACCCAAATATGCAAACCTCTTTTATTTCCTTATCTTATCTTTTTATTCCCTTATTATTGAAGGGTGTGTTCATAATGGGGGCATCCCATTGGAGAGTACATGTCAGCAATGAAGATGGAATTACACTTTGAGCTAAGGTTTAAGAGCATTTTAGGCTTCTGTAGACCCACCTTGTCCCTTAAGCCAATGGCAATGTTTTTATCTTGTAGGGACACCAAATGGACCTTTATATGGGACTTGAAGACCTTGATGGGCCTAAAACAAGTAGAATTCATATAATCAGTTGGATCACTATTACAAGCCTTAAAAAAGCCTTGATAACATCTGAACCGGGACTTTCACTGGGTCTTCGATATATCTCAAACCCATCAATAAACTCCTATCTTCAATGATGAAATTATGATCCAATGTCGTTTTGGTGAAAAGGTCACACAACAAATCAAACACAACACACACACAGCATTAGAAGATGAGACTCATGGGGCAACCATGTCCATTGAAGACCACTTTAAGAATGCATGGTGCATATTTAAAGAAAGCAACCAAACATGTGTATCTTCCAAGATTATAGAAATATTTTTCTATTCAAGATGAGGATGAAGATGATGATACTGTATAGAAAGTGGGACATCACCACACATCCCTTTACTACTGTCACTGGCGTCGGAATTGATCCATCTACCTGATTAGGCCACATATTTGTGGCCATTGACCAATTAGATTCACGTTTTATATTTTGACGCAGGCCATTCATAAACTAAGATATGGGGCACAAGATATGTATCAAGTTAGTTAATTGAACATTTATGATTTCTCCCCATGTGTTGTGTGGCCTTGCATTGAGCTTCACCAATAATAGAGTAACAAAATCTGCGTACTATAATAGCCTTGGCCTCATATGTTCATGAAACTAGTAGCAAAGAAAATAACCCTACACATTCCAAAATGCCGGCAACAAGGGGCATCCAATGCACACAATTTTGGTAGATGTTAATTTTTTTAGCTTTTTATGCTTTAGTTTGTTGTCCTTTCTACGAGTCTTGTTCTGTGCATGTGGCCCTAATGATCAAATCTGAAGCAAACTTGCCAAGGATAGTGATTGTTGCTTATCTTGATCTATCATAGTCTATTGCTTGCAAGAATCAGAACCACTGATTTCTAGTAACCTTTAGCATGATTTCAATTAACAGAAAGTGTCAATGTAACAAAAATGTGTTTCTTCTACTTCACAACTAGTGGTGAGCAAGGACTCTAGCATAACATGTGGCAGCATAAGTTTTCCAAATCTTGATGCTGATAATGTCAAATGGAAAATAAAAAATGACTTTTGTAGGTACCTACATAATTGTGGTAGCTACACAAGAAAGAGGGACCGTTAACTTCCCCTATTGATAATTAAGCAGAAAAAATTGACTAGACTTAATGATCTTAATGGAACTGTCATGCTCATCTCTCTTGAGTGGCCTTGACTAACTGAAGGATTATACTTACAACAACAATATTTGGTACTCCATATATGAATTTAATGCACATCCATTGGTGTGTCTTTTTTGGTTCATATGTTACACGTACTCATGTGATTGTGCCCACACATGAGAGGACTGTTGTGACCACTATGCTCCGACACTAAGAAATGGGTATTGGGTTTGATGGGCCAAATGATCTATTGACTAACATCAGTATCTAGAAATAAAAATTAAAGTTGTTTATACTAAGTACATGTGTAGTTCCTAAAGTTCTCTCAATGGAAAAGGCCTCTCCACTATTATTCTTTGCTCTTTTGGTGGGACTTCTTAAGATATTACCACCCATACAATTATATACTATGGAAATTTTGTTAATTTTTCTTCAACTTTTTATTTACTCTTTTTTACTGTACTGGTGTAATTAAATATTAAAATTGCAAGATTAATATAACTAAATGTTTTTTTATGCAAATAGAATAAGTTGTATATTCTACATATGACTTAATTTTTTTAATAAAAAGTAGAAGTTGTATTTATAATATATGACTACTGTTTTTAATCTTTCATATTTTGTCTCTTTTATTAAACGGTGCTCTAATACTCAGTTGACACTCATCACCAAGATATTATGATAGAGATACACAATTTTTATTTGTAATTGATCCATACAATCATTTTATTTGATTTTCAATTATTTTATTTTATATATCAAATTAATTAAAATTTAATATAAAAGTCATTTTTACTAAATACAACTTTGAAGAAAAGCCATGCTCCTTGTATATGACTGTTTTTTTTTTTTAATTCCATATACGTTATTCAAAGAAGAGAGTATTGATTATCTACTTTTCAAATTATTTTATTAAAAAATGATAATAGTATATCATATAAATATAACTTCTAATTTTAATTCAAAAGTATTAGAGTCATATATAATAAATATAACTTACTCTATACTCTATTTACGTAAAAAAAAAAAAAAACAATTACATTTATCTTATAATTTTGATATTTAATTACACTAGTAAAAAAACGAAGCCTTTATTTACATGACAAGGCAGTTTTAATCTTCTAATATGAATTATAACTTCTCTATTGATGTTATCATATAGATTCTATATTTGAACCCGCGAGTGGTTGGAAATTGAAATATTACCCACTAATGAGACTAGACTTACCGTGATGAAAAAGTGCTTGTTAATGATAACAACCTAAAGAGGAGGCAGTGAGATATTAATGGGCCATAGTAAATCTATCATAGTCAAAAGAAATTACTTACCAAGCAATTACTTTTAATTTGTTATAGAATAACTTTTAAGCTCTCAAAATGATGGTGGGATCTCTATAATAATTATGGTCCATCTGTATGATGGAATAAGCACATATATAAGTTTTGATTGTATTATGTACATGCTCATGGCCATTGGATATCCATATCCAACAACCACTTAACACCCGACTCCCATTCAAACCAATAGAAGCACATAGAATCCAAGGAAACACAGCTCGTTGCTCCCCACAATCCCTAACAAAAACATCTGGTTTTAACAGCATGAGAAGGATAAAAAGCACTGTTTCCCACTTATATCCCAATATCCCATCTTTATTGCTAATGCACGTATTCACATCATGTGGGCCTCACACAAAAACCTCCAAAACTCCCTCATCATACAAAATTATGGCTATAGTTATTGATTATTCTAAACTCTAACCCTCCCACTACTCTCAATCATTTCAAACCCTTTGATCTCTTTGCATCCTTAAAATAGCACCTCTATTGTTACACACTGCTTCACCTCTTGCATAACTTCATATAAGTTCACTAACTTGCACCATGTCCATAGCAGGACTTATAGACCCAGAAATGAATCACAAGAAGTCCTTCCACCGAAGAAATGATTCTGGTGAACTTGATGTGTTTGAAGCTGCAAGGTACTTCTCAGGATACAATGAAGCTGTTGTTGGGTCAACTTTCACTCAAAAGATCATGAGAGAAGAAAGACATGGACATAGAGCCAGAATCAGCTTAGACATGCCAATGAGAAGCTTGCTTCCTCAACAATTCCATGGCATGGAGAAGCAAATGAAAGAGAAGAAACACAAGCAGCCTAGTTCTCCAGGTGGTAGGCTTGCTAGCTTTTTGAACTCTCTCTTCAGCCAATCAGCATCAAAAAAGAAGAAATCAAAATCAAGCACGCAATCCATGAAGGATGAAGATGAAAGCCCTGGTGGGAGAAGAAGGAGAAGGAGCAGCATTAGCCATTTCAGAAGCTCAAGCACTACAGATTCTAAGTCCATATACTCTTCCTTAAGCTCAGGATTTAGAACTCCTCCTTATGTACAAACACCAACAAAGAGCTGCAAGGAATTCAGAACCTTATCAGATCACAAGCATGCACTCTCCATGTCAACAAAACACAACGGACATGTAAAATCAACCACTTTGCAAAATGAGTTGTTGTGGGATGACAAGAAGAAAAGGGAACTAACTTGGTTGGATGATAACTACAAACATAGTAATGTAGTGTCAGAGAAACAAAGGAACTGGGGGAGTGAGTTGCTTGAGAAAGATAGGATATGGGTAGACAAGTACTCAGCAGAAGATAAGGAAATCAAGAAGTTCAATGAGGTTGATGATGGTGCAGAGAGTGATTCAAGTTCTGATCTGTTTGAGTTGCAAAACTATGACTTGGGTTACTATTCAAGTGGTCTACCTGTCTATGAAACGACCAACATGGATAACATCAAGAGAGGAGCACCAATTTCCAATGGCCCTCTGTGATAGTGTGTATATTTTCCCCTTCTTAATTGGTGGTTTATGTTGAGATAGCATGTTAGAAGCTATGAAAAGGAAAATCTCTTAGATTTTGCCTGTTTCCCTTTGGGTTTCATTTCATCTTCTTTCAATACTTTTTCTGTGTGTACAGTTTGGAATGTTTGCTTGTCTTATCTAATTCTATCTACTGTCCCTTGCTTTTTTGGACCTTTGTTTTAGAGTGCATATGAACAAAACAAAAATGTCCTCCATTAGTAGCTTGATCAGATTGTTGCCGTGATTTTAGGTTTAACATGTAATCAAAGATCATAGTTACCAGGTTCTCTCAAACAACCATGCATGTGTCCCCCGGCCCTTATCAAATTCACTCATAGTCTTGTGATAATATATGAACTGTGTAAACTATGCAATGTTACTATATGAACTGTGTATCCACGTACCTAGTAACTAAGATCAAGACTTTCATGTTGGCTGAAATTATCAACCTTGTTGAAATGGAACAATTATAATGAAAAAATTAACCTTCAAAGGAACCTTTTTGCCTTCATGCCTTAGTTTGATGCGACTCAAGCCTTCATTTTTATCGGGAATGAGACTAAAATGCTAGTAAAAGGGTAAAATGTATCTACATATGTCTTGTCCCGCATGATTCATTTATAGGAGGCTATCTCGTCTAAATGCATACATTATATATCAATATTGGTGATGTGTCAAAGGATATTTTTATTTTTCTTTGGTAATATTTCGTTTTCATTTTATGAGTTGGGATTTTGGTTTTGTAACTTGAAAGTTGTACGGGGAACTGTGAGTAACTTAGGTAGAGAAAATACCAGTTAATGTAATTATTCCGGTGTCATATTGCATGTTCACGTAATGGAAGGTGGCTGATTAGGGGGATTGGGAACTTGGAAAGTAAGAAAAAGGATGGATTTAATAATCTTTTATTTCTCTAAACTAATATCAATGATGTGACATAATCAACATTACATGTTAGGCAGTGTTCCGTTAATGGTGGATCAATTAAGAAGACCAAAAACTATTGTTCCGTACAATCCTTGGTTTTTACAGCTTCAATCTTAGCTTGCTAATTCAATAATTAGGAGCTTGATATGTGTAACGAAATATCAGTCCAATCAAATGATAAAACATAAAAGGCCATGGACATCTTGTTAACCTAGTATATATTATTGGTGTTGGAGGCAGAATCAAGACAAACATCAAAATTTACCATGCAATATTCCGCAAGCACATCTTTTAAAGCTAAGCATAAAATAAAATGAAGAGAGAGAAACCAATGAAAAACAAAAACACGTTCACACTTGCTCAAGATCCTAACCATTGATTTCATTTTGACCAATTACTTGTTTCTCACCTTCAGCTAGAGCTTACTGATTTATTTATTTTGTACCTCAACTATAATTTTTTACTGGTGAAATCCCACATTCATTATCGATATTATTAAAACAAAACTTATAAAAACTAAAATAATATGTACTTTATGAGTTAAGCTTTTAAAATTGTGTTGGGCTTTAACTTTAATTTAAGACTTATCATTATATTAATTTGCCTAAGGTGCAAGGTAAAAACCAACAATACAATAGTTATAATGTGAATTTGATTATGTTATTTTATTTTTCTATATTAGAAAAAAAATTTGGACAAATAAATAAGTGACTTGCTTGCTTGCAAACTGAGAATATGGAGATGCAATTTGTGGCCGGGTTGGGTGGGGGTATGATCTAGCATTCTCTTTTATGGCTTACAGTTGGAGCCTAGCAAAGAGTTAAATGATGGACTAATTTGGTAGCCTTTTGGTAGAATGATGCAAACAAATGATGGATGGGGAACCAAAGGGGTCAATGTAACTATCAATGTGGGGTGGAGGGCCCAAACTTTGTTATAATTCAAATTGAATTGCAAAGTTTACTATGTATGCTCAGGCCCTGATACTGTGCAATAGAGTATAGAAAAGAGATAGGGACATAGAATGTGATAGAGAGTAAGAGAGAGAAACATGCTCATCTTTTCTTATGAGCAATCAAATCTTCCTTTTTTCTTCTTTTTCTTTTTTCTTGTTTGGTAAAAGTTAAACTAATGAATGTAATTAAAAACCGAAGGTACCAATCAATTCATTAGATTTTTATCTGCTGCACTTATGCAATGTTCATTACCCTTAAATTTAACATAAATTTAGAACTGTTTCCTAGTAAACCCTTCATGATGATGGATTACACGGAATTATTGTGCTTATTTTCTATTATTTGTTCTTGGGAAGGTCATAATTTGTCTTTCTTTCCTAGTAAATCCCATTCTTCATGAATATAGGAAGAGTGATGACTTAGAGAAAAGTCTGATATTAATTACAAATTATATTAAAAGAATTTGCCAATATGAAGCATAGCAAAAAGCATGTTAGGAGTGATTAGTGAATGAAACAGATTAAAAGGATAAAGGCTCCAACCAGCAAATCTATCTAAAACAAAATTAAGATTAGAAACCAAAAATAAATGCAAATATGGGAGAGCTTTTAATTTTAAAATTTTAAAATAATTTATCACTTAAATGGTTATTTGAATATGAATCGAGTAATTTTTTGGTTATTTTTAAATATTCTATTGAAAGTTTTCTTTAATACCTTACAGATTTTCTAAAATTCAGGTCGCGGTTCAAACCTCTTGAAGTTTTTCATTAAAAAATAATCGAAAATTGCAATTACACATAGGAGCAAATTATCTGAAAAATATAATTGGCATGGCTTCAATTTGTTTGACAATAAACTAAAAAATAAACTTATTTATAAGTTGTGATATGAAAAAGAAATTGTGTGTCCTGTAGACTACTCGTTGGGAACTAAAGCTTTTACACATATTGATTTTTATAAAAGCCATTCGTGGTGCATGATGATCCCAAAGAACAAACCTTGCTTTTGGGAACAAAGTGGAAATGAATTCAATAAAGGTGAAAACGGACTTGCCACATAGGCTTTAGGAATTAGGATGTTTTACTTTATACGCATACCATATTCTAAAGCTTATCTTGATAGATTCTCTCTCAATTCTTTTTTACATGTTTAGTTGAGTTTAAGCTTTTTTTTTATTGGAAAAGAAACATATTTATTACATTAAAACTATTAAAATGTAATAAATATTTTTTATTAAATTGTTTAAACTTAGCTTAAAAATTAAGGTTAACATTTTCTTCTTTAGTTGACATCTTTTTCTTTTTTTACTGGTAGTCTTTTTCTTTTTTGTCAAAGATATTCTCATTGTACTTGGTCAATATTAATTTTTGGTCTATTCTGTCTTTTATGATGCTTTAAACTTCTGGGCCTATGACCAAAATGGGTTATTAGTAGGACTGAGAAGCCCATTCCCCTGTAGGCACCACCGACATTATCGACCCACTATTGACCCAAAAGAAAAAAAATCACAAAAAATTCCTGTCTCGACGTGGAGTGCTCAGAGTAAAAGTGGCCCATTTGCTGCACTCAGTAACTGGAATTGTTGGTTAAAGATTGAATTTCTGCCGGTAGAGTTGACTAAGTAAAGATACACTAAAAAGATATAATTAAAAATAAAGATCATTTTGCAGTCAGGACTTTTTCTTAATTTTGTGATTCAATTGTTGAATCATTTTATATTTTATAATGATTATATATATATATATATATATATATATATATAATTTAAATATTTTTAGTATCTTATCCATATTTTATTACATATTTTAAAAATTACTACTTCCAATTCTATCTATGAAAAACAAACAACTAATTCATCACGACCAGTAAAAATAGTTATATATTATAAATATTAATGTTATTTCAAAAATGTTTATCATATTAAATGACCAAGTCAGTAGCAGCTTAGGAAATAGGTGGGTGTTTAGTTGATATAAAAAAAAATTAACAATTAATACATTTGAAAATAAATTTTTATTTTTTATAATTAGGACAAAAAAGTTTTTGGCAACTGTTTCTTATAAAGAGGATCAAATGTAGTATTTTTCAATGATTTGATAGTAAAAATGAAAAAAAAAATATAAAAATGGCTGTGTACCAATGGAGAAGAGCAAGCATGAGTCCTTATCATTTGGATAGCACACCTCTTAATGAACAATAATATCAGCTATACTCATGAATTTGTTGATCATCTCATAATTCATTACCACAAGTCATGGAAGGTATGGAAGAATATTGTCAGTATGTGGGGAACAAAGTGGATCTTCCCGGGCACATTGTCTACTCTATTTGATCTGTGGAATGAACTGTGTACAATTGACCGAGAAAATTGGAAAAAGGACTGTGGTGGATGATGTTATATGGAATAGTGTGGTCCATTTGCCTTACTCAGAATGAGCTTGTTTTTTCACCAACAAGAGCTTGCAAGTGGAAAATATTGTAGACCCGCTTAGCGGGAATTATGGTACATTCGTGAATAACTAAATTCTAATTGAAGTGATGTTTTTCGGATAAATTAATGTAACTTTGGAAGATTGGATGAAAGGACATCTATTTAAATAATGGGATTTTTGAGATGAGAGTCAACAAGAAATTTTGCTATTTCTTAAGCTTATGGACCCAATTCAATTTAGCTAGATCTTTTGTTCATTTTGAGAATTTATGGTTTAAGAATTAAGATTTAAGGTTTATTCATATTTTTCTTTTCGACAAAGCTAGAATGGCTTGGTGGACTCTCACTAATTTGAATGGTTGCCCTTTGATTTCCAAGTTTTATATTATAGCAGAACCTTCAGTCAATTCTGTTGCCTAAAAAAGATAATACATGTCTAATGGGTATGGGTTCCTCATTGAAAGAACATTACTAAATTTTAATGTCGAATTTTGCCTCATCAATTGTTGGTACAGGAGGAGCGACAAGGAACTAACAATGTTTATGCATGCTTTGCAATTCTGTGAAGGATTTAAATTTTACAATGTTTGCATCGAAAATGACCCTTTGTTGACTATTAGATTGACCTTAAATCTAAAAATAAACTTTAGAAGC